CCCCCCTTATTCTGCTTAGTTATGCTTTTTATTATGTAAACATTAACTGTAATATTACAGTGGGAAGCAGGTATTTGGCAACTGCGCGTTATTTTGCTAAGTTTGCATAGAGGGAGCAGTTTCCAGTTTTAGCAGCTGTAACATGTTTAAACTCAGTTTGTAATGGGATCTGAAGATGAATATTCCCTGTGGGCTCCGCTTAGCTTCATTACTGGAGCCCTGCCAAACTCCGCGCTCCAAAGTATTATTCACGCCTCTTTGCACATACCATGTCAGAGCATGCTCAGTTAATGAATTTTGTTTCCAATGTAGCATAAATTAGGTTTATATTTTAACATAATTTATGTTGCATTTTATTAAAATGTAAAATATTACGATCGCGAGCAATCTAATTTCTGCTCTCTTAAGCCCAAACTGTGTTTGAACATCTAAGTATGTAAATCGGAATTGCATGCTTCGAAGCTGATTCGAGGATAACAAACGAATATCTGAACCAAAGAGATTTCTGCCTTGGAGTCTTAGATTAAAGATAATTAAGGATTCCTGGTATTTGAACAGATTTATGTTGTTTATAAGCAGAGTACATTTTCTTCATAGAGTCAACTTGTCTTTTTTTTTTAAACAAATTATGTTTGCTGTATTAAAGTTCATATTTTTAAAGCCTGAGCCTTGTATTAATCCCACAGTGAGTCATTAATCATACCAAATGCATTATAAAAACTTTAATCACTGAAGTTGAAACCGGGATTGTAATGCAATCCATCCCTTTTAATTACATCAGTTATTTTTCCTTTCAGATCAAGAATTGCAAAGAGGAAGCAGATAGATTAAAACTCAAAACTGTTCGCTGCTTTTGGAGGTGGGGGGGGAGGATTTTTTTCTTGCTTGTTTGTTCTTTTTTAGAGCGGTTTTGCACACTTTGTGGAGGGCTAAGTGCCCCGGATAAAAATTCCTTCTTTTATTTATCTCTCTTCCTCCCTCGCTTGCCACGCCGTCCTTCCCGTCTCCGTCCCTGCACGGACGGCTCCAGCTCTCTCCGAGGAAAGCAAAAGCGCTTTTCCAAAGGCGGGGAGCTGGCGCGGGCACCGGGCACCTCGCCACGCTTGTCCGCCGCCGAGGGTCTCGCTGCCGCGCGCGTGCGTGTGCGTCTTGCACTTAGGGGAACCACCGGCCTGGGAATTACGAAGCTGCTTGATAGGTGCTTTCCTGGGGTTGGCTGCGTGCATTTAAGGGCAGGCAGGAAAAAATAATAAAAAAAAAAACGGAGGTAATTTTTTTTTAACCGGTCTGAATCGGGGTGGCTCGTGTCCTCAACTGGAACGAGCCGATGTAGCCACATAAACCGCTGCAGCGTCGCTGACACCTGATTTACACCAACGGCAGCTCCACTGGATTTACACCACGTGATAATCTTGCCAAATAAGTTGATTTATCGTAGTTGGATTTGTGGATGCCGAGTTTACAGGGTTGCTTTTATGCCGCGGAAGAAAATAGATTTATTAAGTAAACTGCTCGTCGTAGATACATTTTGTTCTTTGCTAGAATGGTAAAACTTGATCAATTATTTGTTCCTTAATCCCCTAGATTAATCCTGCCGTATGAAAGATTTATTAAAGGAGAGGAAGATAAGCCACTGCCTCCAGTGAAACCTCGAAAACAGGATAACAGTTCCCAGGAGGGTGAAGCGAAAACAAAAGTGTCTGGAACAAAACGCGTCAAAAATGAAAACCAAAAGAGCAAGAAGGAAAAAGATAACGTGCAGAAACCCCAGGATGCATCTGAGGTTGGTTGCTTTCCTGCTTTTTAACTTTTCAATTAAAAATGTACAGCTTTAATCACTTGAAATCCAGTGATAAAACGTATAATTTAAACTGGTGAATTCTGAGCACCTGGCCTTTCCCTTGGCTGAGCAGCGGAAATCCAGTCGTTGCGGTACCGTCAGTGTTGGGATTTTGCCGGGCTGCAAACAGCCACCGGTTAGCTGGGTATTGCGTGGAAGCGATGGCAGAAAACCAAGCCCTGGACGTAACAAGGATCGTTTCTCCTCATTGTGTTATACAGCGGTCACCGCTAAAAGATCAGCAGCTGCCAAAAGGAAACCACACAAGCACCACAGTTATTTCCTAATCTAAGTATAGGGTGCGGGAACCTCTAATACTGCTGATAATACTGCGGTGACTGTTGGATACAGCTGATTTTTGTAATGGCAACCTCTGGATCAGCCTTTCCGTGCTTGCAGAGGTGTGCACATGCCTGTCAAACGCCAGGATTTTTATCGCGTTACGCGCAATTTCTCTTTGGGCTGAAAGGCTGGTTTTTAGGCAGCCGCCTTGCTGGCCCTCACTGCTCCCTCTCTCTTGCCACAGGTGATTTCCCGCTGGGAGAGGTCCCTCTCCTGCCAGCCGGTTCCCACGCAGGGCCTCGTTCAGGGCCGTCGTAGGACCGGCCGCGTGCAACAGATTTAATGTTCACAGCCCATGATAAGATAGATGAGTAAAATTCATATTTGTCTGCAAATAAAGGGTTTGCTAAGTGATACAAAATCAAAGGGGATTTTGCTCTGGTGTGCCTCAAGCACTTTTTTGTGTGCGTCCTACCCGCTCTCTCCTGTGCCCCACTTGCACCCGGGTGCGAATGAGTCCCTGAAGCTCCTCACGCACAGCCCCGTGCACGAGATGTTGCTTTTCCCCTCTCAGCCTGCCAGATCGCAGCAGCCTTCGAGGCGTTGCAGTGAAAGTAAGTATTTAAGGAATGCCAAAAGCCACGTGACGTGCCCGGCAGACGAGGGCTGCTCCCTTGACTTCGTTGCTGTCTGGCAGGTACATAAGACTTGCCTGTTTCTAAACCAGTTTAGAAATCGGTATTGACTCAGCTTGCAACAGTCCTCCTCCTCGCTGTTTAAAAAATCACGGAGCCAGTAAACACGGCTGCATCTGAGACTTTGCCTGCTCAGTTTCAAGAACGGAAAAATTTCATTTTTGTGTCCCGCTCCCTCTTTAAGTCTTGCTTACGATGGCAAGTCTCATCTCCTGTCCGAACCAGAATTTGTGTTTTGAGTTGCCTTGATCAACAGCACCTCTAATATCCAATGTAAGGGCACTTCACAGAGAGGGCCGGGGGTTTTTTGTTTTCTCTCACACTATAATTTTAAAGCAGGGAACCCTGTTGGGGGCAGAACCCCTCTGCTTCTGATTAAAAATACATAGAGAGGAGAGTGCACACAGACCTACTTAAGTCACTGGAAGGTTGCAACGCAAATTGCCCACAGCAGGGAAATGCGAAGTTAAGGCTTGTGCTCCGTTCCCCTGTCATTCCTTTGTGCCTGGTTATTTATTGTGGGGCCTTGGATCAGCAAGATACGTTACATGCTATCGGTCCTGCCACAGCTCGGCACAACATAACAAGTCAGCGATGGAGCGTCAGCCTTAACTTTGAATTTCCTCGCTTTTGTTGTTCCCTATCTCAAACTTCCTGCTGCTTAAACTGCAGTTATTTTTGTGTGTGATTTGCAGGAAGAGTTCCTAAGCTGTGCTTATCGGAAATGTAAGGCGCCTGGAAGAGACAATAAAAATGTACAATCGTAGCAGTTTCCTATTGTAGGATGGTACCTTTTACAGCCGAATTAATCTGTCCTCTCTGACTGGGATGAAGGGCAGCGTCCTGCCCCTGTGTGATCAGGGTGGGCAATTAAGGACGTCAGCCTGATGCGGGTCACGGTAGGGGCGGGTGGGTACCTGGAGCCTGGGCGGCAAAGGGGCCCGCAGGGCTGGGCGCGAGCTCGCTGGTGCCATGCCGTGGGACAGGCTCCGTGTCCAGGCTGTGACCTTTCCGGTGGCTGGGAAAACAGAGACGCCCAGTCCCGTCGTGAAATCCGAGCCTGCCTGGAGCAAGGCAGAAGGTCGCGTGTCCCTCAGACCTGGCACACTCTTTGGCAGCCGGTCCCCTGCCAGGTTTTGTCATAGGCATCCCGCTTGGGTGCGTCCTCGTCCTGGGACAGCGGTGGCAGCTGCTGCTCATAGGGAACCTCCATAGCTACGTCTGTAGATGGAGACATGGCCACCACCAAGCCGCTCTGTGGCCTAGGAGCTGGCCATGGCTGCTCTCTGAAAAAGCGTACTCGAGCTGCAAGGGTGCAGTCCTCCCGGTTGCACGCTCGCCTCATGCACAATGACAAGTATGTAAGGAGAGAATATAACTTTATTAGGGCCGCATTTGCTTTTTGCGCTCATCACTGTTTTCCTGCCATCACAATGACATTGTCAGTGTAACAAGGTACGAGGCAAAATGCTATTAGCCTTAGACAGCACATTTCCTCACAATAGCTAAAACTTCCATCAAAATGTTACTTAACAGAGACAAAGAGCAGAATGTACAGTTATTAAATATGATTTCTCCTCCTTTTTTTCCTCCTTGCTTTGCTCATCTGTCTGGTATTTTCCTGTAATTTTATAAGCTCAAGAGACTGGTGATAGTACTTTGTAAAGGACCTAATGATGGTATTTGGACTGAAAAAGGCAGCTATTAGTTTAAAAAGAAAGAGTTACAATGACTAACAGACACTGTAGCTAATAGGCCAACCAAACACACACAAGAATATTTAAAAGCAGCTGTGAAGAAATACATCTCTAAAATGGTTAGAGGCGTTAGGTCCTTTTCTTGTCCCTCATTCCAATCGATGATAGACCATAAAGCAGCATTTAGATAATAACTTTCTTGATGCATCTTATCTTTACAACTAAGAGAGAAAGAAAACAATAATAATAAAGGGCTCACACAATGCTGCTGTTTTATGACTGTCTTCAACCACGACATGTCAGAGGAGAACGACAGCGGTTCTGAAAAGGGCCGTCAGTCAGCTGGATCGCAGATGGGACGCTCTAATGACCTCTGCGGGTCGCAGTTCAGCCGGCTACATAATGGGATGAATAGCGCGAATTGTGCGCACGAGCTTTATTAATGGGGGAGCAGAAAGAGCTGCAGCCCCATTGACGATAACAGATAAAAGCTATGTTTGTAATGGCGTGCACACACACTTACTGAATGTTGACAACTTCATTTTAATCCGTTAATAAAAAAATGTGTGTCCCAGTTAAGCTGTGGCAGTGATTTGCTGTCTGCAATAGGGATTCCCACTATTCCATTTCTATCATTTTCACACTTTAATGCAGAACCGGGTGTGAATGATCTCTTCTGTGATCACTGAATTTTAAGATAGCCAAGTTGGAGGCGCTGTATTTTTGGCGTTATACAAGAAAAAAACATTAGGATTGGTTTGTAATTTTTATTGGTGAAGTTGGAGAGAAATTTCTATAGCCTTACTGATTACGTTATGAAATACGCTCTTCTGCATTGGCCTAATTAATTGTAAAGAGTGTAAGCTCAGCGTTCAGCGATCTGGTCAAGCCAGCAACGCCTCTAGTCAGGTTACAAACGTACTCTTTTGAAACGCCTTATTGCAACACCCAGCAGGGATGCTGTAATTCTTAATATTTCCAGGAGGTACATTTCTTTGTTTGACGCTGATACCTGGTATTAGAGCTTTCACATTCCAACAAGGGGATTGACAAGTACATCGCTCAAAGTAGCAAACAGTGTACTGTGTATGATTTTATGAACAGTCTGCCAGCACGCACAGCATTCTTATTACTGTCTATTGAATCATTTTATTAGGTTTCATCAGAACAAGAGAAGGATCAAGAATCAGTAGACCAGAAAAATTTCCCTGAACATCCTACAGCAGGAGAGATGAAACAACCCATGCAAGGGCCCCCATCTCTTTCAGCAGAGGCAGCTTGGCCACTACCTCTTGAAAAGACAGACTTGACAGAAAGCAGCTCAAATGGTGAGAAAGCCAAGGAGGAAGTCCAGCACTCGTCCTCTTTCTCAAGTATATCGATGCCCTTAGAGGAGGAGACCATGCTGGATGCCAGCATCACCAAGCGGTTGCACCCCTCGGCAGATGCCCTGGAAGACACAAAGCCAGAACAAAGATTACACAAAGCTTTTACTGACAGCCTAGAAAGTGACCCTCCAGAAATGCCCTTCACGGCTTTCCCGGTCCAGCTGCCCGCTCAAAGCGACATGGAAGATGACAAATTGCCAGAGATGGCCGATTACATTGCAAACTGCACAGTCAAAGTGGATCAGTTGGGAAACGAAGATATCCACAACGCACTGAAGCAAACACCCAAAGTGCTGGTGGTCCAGAACTTCGACATGTTCAAGGAGAAGGAGCTGCCCGGTTCCATGAATGATGATTCCACTTTTGGTTACACCCCGCTCCTCTACTCGAAGGGCAATCCAGGCATCATGTCACCCCTGGCAAAGAAAAAACTGCTCTCACAGGTCAGTGGGGCCACCTTGTCTTGTAGCTATCTGTATGGCTCTCCTCCGCCTTTGATTAGCAAAAAGAAACTAAACAGCAGAGATGAACTGTCCTCAAGCATATCACAAGGTCCCCACACCCTTAATTCGGATCCTGTAGCAATTAATAGGCCATCAGTCATACAACACGTACAGAGTTTTAAAACCAAGGAAGAAAGGAAATCGATTAATGACATTTTTAAGCATGACACGCTAAGTAAACCGGATCATCAGCGCTGTGATTTTTCAAAACATCACCTCAGTTCTCTTGCCGAGTCGTACGTACCGAAGACAGATATCCAGGACTGCAAAGATAAAATGAGTGAGAAAAGGGCACTGCAGCACTCCCATGTGCCCACTTTCTTGGCAGATTTTTATTCATCACCTCATCTGCACAGCCTTTACAGGCACACAGAACACCACCTTAATAACGAACAGGCATCAAAGTACCTCCCTCGGGACATGTTCAGAGAGTCGGAAAATATTTCTACTTTTACTCAACACAAACACCAAGAAAAACTGAATTTAAGTTATCACCCATCTTTGCATCAGCAAGAAAAAAAGGCGGCAGTGGAGGCCTCTTCAGATGATCAGCCAACAGATTTGAGTCTTCCAAAGAGCGTACACAAACAGACTGCAAAGGCTCCAGGCTCCGGCCTCCCTCATTCATCCATGGCTCAGCAAGAAGGCAAAAGCATCTCCCAGTTCCCGGCTGCGAGCAGCCAGGCCATGAGCCTAGACTGCAACCCCAAAGCTTGCCGTGTGTCTCCCATGGCCATGACGGCCCCTAAAAAACACAGCGAGCTGCTCCACAGGTCTGGGAAACAGCAGGCCCAGAGACTCGAGAATCTGAGGAAGATGGAGGGGATGGTGCATCCTATCATCGGCCGCAGGACGAGCCCTCAAACCATCGGGGCCGCCCGGCCTTTGAAAAGGAGCCTAGAGGATTTGGACAAGGTCATTTCTGAAAAAAAAATCCGAGCTGTCTCTCCTCTGCACGTACCAAAGGAGACCCCGGCGAAAGAAAAGGTTCCCGATCCAGAGGGGGAAGGCAGCAAATCCGTGCATGGCCTACATTCTGGCAGCATGTTGGAAAGCCACAAATTTCCCCTTTCAGCCCCTATCTTCACAGGCCTGTATCCAGGAACGCTATGTGCAGGGTTGAACAATCGCCTCCCACCCGGGTATTCTCATCCTTTACAGTACTTGAAAAATCAGACCGTGCTTTCCCCACTAATGCAACCTTTGGCTCTTCATTCCTTCATGGTGCAGAGACAATTCCTTACGTCCCCTGCAAATTCGCAGCAACTGTACAGACACTTAGCTGCAGCAACACCTGTAGGAAGTTCATATGGTGACCTTTTGCATAACAGCATTTATCCTTTAGCTGCTATAAACCCTCAAGCTGCATTTCCACCTTCCCAGCTGTCCTCTGTACATCCCAGCACAAAACTGTAAATTCCTTCACTCACACAAAAAAAAAGTCTGAGGAAAACAAAGTAATGTTAAGTTAGTGACATTCCTTCCCCTGTGATGATGTCTTGCAGAATTAGCAATCTGTATTTTTGTTAACCAGGATGCAGTCTTACCCTGTGCAGCGGAACGCTTCCGAGTTGGATCCAGACAGGACTGCTGCTTTAATTCTGGCTCCCACATCAGCCCCTTCTCCCCTTCTCCTGCCCCCTGCAAAAAAAGAAAAAAAAAAAGAAAAAGAAAAAAGAAAGAAAGAAATCATTGCCTTTTGCATATGTGTTTTCTGAAAGGACTTGTATATGGTGAGAGCAAAAGTTCAAAGGGAGCCATGGAAATGCAGGTCCAGTCCTGAGCTCACTGAAATCAGAGGTGATGGTTGCGTTCAGTTTTCATTGAGCCGAGGATCAGAGGCGTTGCGTTGTTTCAAATGAGTCCAGGACTCGAGATGAACCTGAAAAGGAGAAGAGGGCCGTGAATCCATACAATCATTAGATGTGCTTTTTGGGGTAACTTTTCCTGACTTTTAAAGATTCAATCAATGCAATGTATAATAAAAACGGCAATAGATTTTTTTCATTTTAACACTATTAGAACAGAAGGGTAAACACTGTTTAATTTGACTGTACATATCCACTTCGTAAACTACCAGTGTCACATTTGGTCACAATAATTTATATAGTTTTGTTTGTCCAGTATATTCTGTGCTCTTTATGTTTGTTTTTTTGTTTTTGTTTTTTTTTTTAAATTAAACAGTATCATTTTATCTGCAACTTTTTTTAAAGGCTGTGGCTGTCCTAATTTTTTTTTTTAATGTGTTTGTAATTCTTCCAGTTCCTTTATACTTTTGAGCAGCGTTTTTGTTTTGTTTTTGTGGTAACATTTACTGTTTACAAACTGAAGCAACTGAATCTTAATGGATGAATCTTAATGGATATAAACATACTGTAGGTAATATAATGGTGCGAGGATGCAAACAAAGTTCCTTTTCCTATGGTCCGATCCCGCAAGGTGCTGAGCACCTGCCGTTCTCCTAGTGTTGTCGCAATGGCTCATACGCTGCTTTTTCCCTCCTGCCGAGCTTTGCTTTCCCGTATTGTGGTCCGTGAACTTGTCAAGAGTTGTACTTACCTTACCTAGGCTGTGAAACCCTCCTGCGTACCAGAGAAACGATTTAGGAAACAAAACCTCACTGGCACAAGCTGCTGAATAACAGAGGAGTGCAGAAAACGGATTTGTGGTTTGCGAGAATGTCAAGAATTTCGGGAGTTAGAACAGGAGCCAATGTGGAATTGAACCAGAGGGTTTGCGAGCCCGGGGCTCGGTGGCTGGGTCGGGCTCCGCTGGTGTCGGTCAGCAGAGCGCCCCTGGAATTGCAGCCCCACGGGGCTAAAAAAGGAACTTGTAGCCTGTTGGGATGCTCCTTGTGCACCCACGCTGGGCACTAAGGCCCTCGTCCTGGGAGTCCTTTCAAAGAGTAAAAGCCCGGGAGTGAAGGGACTGGGTTTTCGTAACGAAAGAGCTTCCCTGTGGATGTGTGTTCGCTTTGAAGGACATCACCACCATGCAGCTAAGCATAGACATTGACAAAAAGAAGTGTGACTTGGAGGCATTTTACAATGTGAATTTGGTTGTGATTCAAACCATCTCAGTTACTGTTCAAAGACAGCATAATCAATACAAAAACAGAAATGGAAACTACTAAGAAACACTTTGCATGCTAGGCATGTCATTAAAATTTCCCGTGATATGAAGCCAAATACAATATATAATGTATCATAGTTAATATCCAAAGGTGGAAACCAGAATAATATACTCGTCTACTGTTAAAGATCCAGCTTCTTCAATTAAATACTCTATATTCCTGTGGTAAAACTATATTTAATTGATCGGTAAACAGACTAGTAGAATTTAGAACATGAACGTGCCAATGCAGAGTATCCTGCTGTTCCACAAGTCGTAAAGGACTCAAAATCGCAAGCTCAGCTGGGCAGAGGCCATAATGTTGAGGACATCTCTAGTAAAGTTGCACTAGATCTGAATCACGTAAGAATCAGGGGTTTGGGGGGGGGCCATCTTCTTCATATTTCTAGCTCTCAGACTACACTCAGACTACACCATGTGAACTCCTGGCACTTTCTTTCTTTTCTTTTTTTTTTTTTTTTTTTTTTTTGCAAATCAAAACACTTTTCTTTCTTGTTTAGGCTAAATTGTGTGTCCTGGATTTATGCATTTGTTTACACGAGGTGTCCGATTTCGTTTTTGATGACGTCATGTTGGAATTTGATCATAGCATTTTTAAAACAATGTTAACACAGTGCGGGGGCAGGGGGGAAGAGGAGAGGGGAAGAAGGCTCTTTGCTTGTTCCACGAGGAGACTGGCCGTTTCTGGCTGAGGAAGCTCATAATAAACTGGGCAAAACATCAGGACAAATAAAAAGAAATGGTAGCTTAAACCCCCAACAGAAGCAGCGCATTATTTGTTTAAAAACTCTTAACACAAATCTTGGAAATGTTTCAAAAGACTATTGAATTCTCCATTGGCCAAAAACTCTTTTTTTTTTTTAATGTCTTAAATGGGGCTTTGTTTGCATTGTTTGAGTTCAAGGGGCCTTATTATTGAATGAAATTGCACAAGCCTTTCTTTGTGCAATCAAACCATTGTTATTGGTAGGTTTGTAAAGGAAACTGTGGAATCTAATTGGCAATAGAGTCATAAATCTATTTACCAAGAACCAGTTCCAAGAACTGTTGCAATTCAAATGCACTATGTCCAGGATTCATTAGGGATTTTAAAGGTTGTGAGATTAAAAGAAAAAGGCCCAGCAACAACAGCTTGCATGTAACTTCTGGTTACAGGCTAAGTTTGACTTTAGGAAATGCGTTAAGAGCGGAATCTGGCTCTTGGAACAAAGGCTGTATTTTGCAATAGGTCCGTCTTAGTTATTTAGTTGTTTGACATGAAAGGTTTGCACAGTGTATCGGTGCATAGAAAGCAGTTTGTTACAATTAAAAAAAAATTGACTTTGCAGCATACGGAATTGGTGGACGAGTCCGTAAGTACTGTATCTTACTGTGTTGACATGTCTACCGCAGTTTCCGGGGGGGTCACTGGACTATTTTGCGTAGCGTGCCTTCAGAGACCACGGTTCGGTTCCCTTCACTCGCTCTTTCCCATGATCACTTTTTTTGTAGTGGTCAACTAGGTCGCATCTGGTCCAATTTTACAATTGTCATGATTTTAATGAGAAATGGGAATTCTTTCACTGATATGAGGCCTGCAGCATTGAAACTATTACCTTGAGCACTTACTATGGTGTTTGCTGTAAATGTGGTTGATATTTCACTTGTTCTCTTCCTCCTCGTCCCCTCTTCCCCCAACCCCATAGTTTTAATATGTTCTAATAATGGCAGCATAATCTACTAGCTGTTTATACTTTTTTAACTTTCTTTTGTTGTAAATATTGTATACTTTTTGTGATTCAAGTTATGTAGCCTCTATGCTCTGTAAGGTGATGATTTGTATATATAAAAATGGCCCAGTAATATTATATAGTTTCCCATTTAAAAGGTTATTGAGTAACCTTTGCATTAGTTTAAACACTACCAGAAATAAAGCTGAGCCAACTATAAACACTCAATTTTTGTATGTTTTCCAAATTGTACTTATTAATGCTTTTGATACTGTATTATGTGCCAATAGTTTCCCAATCACATAGCAGGCAAAAGATATTTTGTACTTTTTGATCCACTGTAATATTTAATAAAAAATGTTACTATCTGTTCCCTTTTGTGTTTGATTAATAATTCTGTAAACAGCGCTTATCGCAATGGATTACATATTATCCCATCCGACCTTTCAGCCCTCTTATATTGGCTTTTCTAGAGAAAATTATCCCCTCCTGCAAATGATTAGATTACAGAAATGGAAGTTTGCAATTTCCTAAAGGAGGAAGAGACAAGATCTTCAGTGCCCCTCTATTTTGGTAATGCACTCGCATTGAAGTGTGGCTGCGGTCAGGCTGACTGTAAGAATAGCTTCTGATGGGATAACATTCGTGCTTAGCCAGTAGCTTCTGCAGCAAATTTGCTCTATTTGCAACTCAGAGCAGGATTTTTTTTTTTCTTTTTTTTTTTGCCAGTACTGCAGACTCAAGCTGGGATCTGAACAGCCTCTGTTCTTCCTAGCTCAACCACAAGTAAGATTTTGGAGTCAGATGTTAACTAATAGTTGTGCTGATGCCAGTAAACAAGCACCAAGTAAAGTTCACTTATGTTCTGCTCCTTGCTGAGTCCAAACCCCCCAACCTTGGTGACCTTTTAGGAAAGCTGTCTTGCAATGAACGCTGTTGAGTGCAGTTATGTTCCTGTCCTCCTGAGCTGAGAAACTCATTTACTTTGGTGTGTTTCAGGAATGTATACCACCACGCCATGCACGTGTCGGCACTGAGGGCAGATTTGGTGGCTGAGGCCACCCTGTGGTCCCAGATCATGGCTGAACTCTGTGGTCCTGGTAAGTATATGTGTGTATGTGTGTGTGTGTGTGTGTGTGTGTGTGTGTCCATGGTCTGCAGGGAAACCTTACCCATCCCTGGGGGGTTCCCAGGAGCTAATAGTTGTGAGCCCACGGAGGTCCCAAAAGCGACTGCTGCTTCATGCTTCTGCCCTGCAGCGCAGCACGGATGGGTCGCTGGCACCCCTGGCACTCATTCCCGCTCAGCATCTGCAAGGTAGCACAACCGGGGGGCGGAGAGGGGGGTCAAAACAAAGCGCAGTTACTGAGCAAGCTGTTGCCAGCACTGTACTCCCCCGTGCTGTGAGGAAGGAAGAGCAAGTACAGCCAGCACACAGAGGGGACAGGGACAGTTGCTCGACTTAAGTGTCACTACAACCAGTCAAGCACAGCCCAGGTTGCTGTCACCATTCGATGAGGCTTCCAGGTGTGTGCTGTGGCTGAGGGAGAGTTGCAAAAAAAGCATTTCTTATGCATGCTGGAAATGAGGGGAAATACCAGCTAGGGTGAAGAACAGGCTTGGCACGTTTGTTCTTCCGAGCAGGCTGTGGTGGTGAGTGCCATGGTTTCAGTACGCAACGTGTCGGGGTGAGTGGACGGAATCAGCCTTTGTCTGTTTTAACCTGCTGCCTAATAATTTTCTTGGGTACTTGTTTATTGTTGTATTGTGAGAAACGGCAAACAATTATGCCATATCCGCATCAGTCATGAAACTATAGCAGGGGGAATAGGGACACAGATGGATTCTGGTCTTTGTAGTAGCTGCACAGGTAGCCAAAGCAATTTGGTTTCCTGGGCCATACTTTTTTGGCAGTTTAAGTTTCCATTTGCCCACTGCGTTTCTTGTTACTGTGCCTTTACCAGGGTTTCCAGCACCATGGGGCAGTCAGATAAGGAGAACGTGTGCAGGTGCCTTAGCTCCTACGTAGCAGGGGCTGAGCTCCAGCTCATGCCTGCTGGCACCGTTGCCGGTGGCTCGTGCTAACAAGACCACCGAATGGCATCCAGCCTGCCGGAGGCTGCAGATCCCACAGCAGCATCTGAGAATGGGAATGTGTCTAGAGAGAAACTCTTCTAGTTCCCACGAGAGTGTATTAGCACAGGGGGGTGTACGTGGATACACCAGACTATGACCTGCACGCATTCACTTCTGCTGCCCCTGCTCTGGGGGAGCTACCCGTAAGCAGAGTGCCGGCATTGACAGCATCCCATTTCCCCCCCACCGCCCCCCCAAGTTACAGCTACCAGAGGTCATGGGTCAGTCATTAGTTCAAATGCTTGATGAAGGTGATTTTAAACTGAGCTGCTAGGCTTTGCACAGAAATGGCGGAGAGACCAGCAGGGGCTCTGCCCCACCAGGACAGCAGTGGTAACAGTTATCTCCAGTACCCAAGGAGTTGGGAATTTCTTAAAATACTGCAGGTGAATTTTCTAAAGTGCTTCTGGCCAGGCCTTCCTTGCAAGGCAATGAACTGCTGCAAATGCAGTATGGACACCCTCTGTGCCTGTGCAAGCTGTGTAGTTTGGGAACGAGTTTGCACTGAAGTGACCTGAAGGGCTTGCAGTGGATCACAGGCATCTTCTCAAGGCTTAGCTGCCCCTTTGAGGGACTAGTGCAGGCCTGCAAGGAGCAGCAGCCCAAGCAGTCCGTCACAATTACAACTGAGAATAGTCTAGTAGTTATATTAGTGACTCACAACCACTTCCAGTTTTGAAGGCTGAATGTCTTGTGGTCTGAGCGGGGACAAGGGATGCTGTGCCACTGGCTTGCTGCATGCTGAGTTTGTCACACCATTTTTTCTCCTGCTGTCAGCAGTGGGAAATTAATGGTTTTGTGGGGCTGAAGGAAAGCAGAAATGCAAAAGATCATGGGGCTCACTGCAGTTTAGTTCTCCTGAGCAGGGTCTGTTGTTTTTGCATCTTGCATTTCTGCAAGAAGGGGGTTCAGGTGGAAGCAGGAATTCTAACAGTAGTGCCCCTGTGCCATGTTCCTTTGCAGTAGTGACCAACATGCATGTAGGAAGGAGATCCCAGCTGTGCTTCAAGGGCAGCCTCTCAGAAACGGGGAGGCCTGGCAGCTGGGGCCACAGTGAGTCAGTGCCTTGAGGATGTCAAAAAGAAATGCCAAAGGAAGCGCCCTAAACTCTACCTCCGACAGCAACCTCGGTGCCTTGCTCGAGGCTGCAAGGAAGTAAGTGCAGCCTGACTCCTGCTGCCTGGGCTGGGCAGCCTCCCAGCCCCTCGGGATCTGGGCCACTGACCCAGTGTCTGCGAGCACTGGCTTTGGTGCCCATGTTTGCCTGCCAGTACTGAACGCACTTCACCTGCTTTCCAGGTAAATGTTCTACTAGGATGGTGCATGCTCTGGCCTGGGGCTTCCTCTTTCCTTCCTACTGAAAGAGCACCACTAGCACCACTTTCGTAGGCTAATTAAATATTTTCTTTGCCAGAGCAGGTTTCCTATGAAAGGCGAGGCCAGGGTTTTGATTCCCGTTGTCAGCCCGGGAGTGGGGTGTCTCATACTATCTCTGTCCCTGCTGGATCTGGCTTGGGCATTCAGATCAGCCTCTGCCACATTCTTGCATGTGAAAGCAGTGCTCTCTCTCCACAGCCCTTCAGTTCCTGCCATCGGTCCGGTGATTACAGCCAGATTACGTGTGTAGATTAGCGTACAGTAAGCAGCGTGCCTATCCTACATATAAAATACTTAAATATTCCTCAACATAGAAGAAATCTGAGCTTCCTGTCTCTTGAAAGTCTCTCCTACCCATGAGACCCATTAGGCCAGGTGGGAAGGAGGGAACAGAGTCCTTCTGAGGCCCAAGTCCTGTATGTGCACATTAGCACTCTGTCCTTTCTAAGAGGATTGCCAGTGGGAGCAGATACAAGACCCCACTGCAGAATAGGCTTGGGAACAGTGCTGGGTCCAGGCTGTGATTGACTATGAGGATTTCATGGTACGCTTGGGATTTTAATGGGATTTTAGTACGGTCCATTCCATGTGTCAACAGAGCAGAGCAGGGAGCTAGAGCAGCATGGACATCTTGCACTGAAATTCAGGTTTCTTTGCAAGTCTTCTGTTGACCTCTCAAGGCAGTCTTTGGCTGACCGTTTTTCCCGCATCCCTTAGTCTGGCTATTTCAGTCCTCAGGTCAATGCTGGCCCCGTGAGACCTGAGAGCCTGATGTTATCACATACCACACAGGACATCTGTAAGCCTTTCATGAAAAGCCAGGACACACGAGGCTGTGAACAGATGGAGGTCATAGGCACAAGAACACCCTGCCTTGCGCTGATCCTGGAGCATTCATCCAGCCTCCTGTTTGCAGGCCCCTTGGCATGGGCACCTGTCAGACTAGTAGCTGTATCTCCCAGGGGTATTTCGGAGGCAGAGCAGAGTCCCATCTAACACTGCCTTGAAGCCAGCCCGTTGAGAATTGGGCCCTTCCTCTTCCCCTCTCATACAGTCAGTGTCTCTGCTCCTTGGAGAAGTTTCCAGGAACATTTTTAAGAAAGTTTCTGCTCCTGAGAGGCACACCCTGCACACAGTCATTACAGGTAATCCTCACTGGCACTGTAATTACTCTGAAAAAGAGAGGGCTCGCCCACAGGGTTTCCAAGAATATATGACACCTTTGGTTTCTTCCAGGCAAGCCTGGAGCAGGAAAAATGCAGCCTGTATCTTTGCCTTCCCCAGTTTCTGTAGGCTCGTGAACAAGGTGGTATCGGAGTATGTTGCCATATTGCCTCTCCTGTCTGAAGAGAAGCCTGGAAGGACAGGATGACCTTGATGAAAGAAAATGGAGCAGCCACTAAAGGAACCCAGATCACCTTCATGTGCACCTGGATCTGGGATTATTTAAGGTTTGCATTTGTCCAGGAGAAAGCAGGGGTCTGGAACAGCGCAGGAGGGCGACTAAAGCCCCGAGCTGAGGCAGCTGCAGGGTAGCTTTGCTCCCATGCTTTGGCCAGGAGCTAAGATACCCTCCTGGGCAGTGCTGCCTCCCTCCCGTGTTCAACACAGACGCCTATTTTTGAGGCTGCACGCATGCAGCCAGCGGACAGGGCTGTGAGGCCTGTTGGATACAGCTTAATCTTTGTTTTCATTTAGCTTTGCAATTTATCCTTTACAGGATTTAAAAAAAAAAAAAGGGAATTAAAAATGTTACATGCTCCATCTAGTGTCTTACCTGAGGAATAAGCCCCTGAAACGTTACGGGGAAAAGCCTGGGATGGGACATTTTATGTCCCTGTGGTCAGCACTCCTGTGCATCTAGGGACTGGTTTTTTTTCCCCTTCTTCATTTAACTCGGCACTGCAGGATTTCACGGACACGGAGAGGACAAATGCGTTTAAAAAAATCAGATTAGACAAATTCACGAAGGATCTTTCTGACTATTAAAAAACAACTGCTCCTCTGAGAAGACCCTGAGCTTCTCCGTGGCAGGAGCTGAGCTCTCGCTGAGCCACAGGACACGTAGAGCCTTTCCCCGCCAGACCCTGCCAGGGACGCAGTACTGTGGTGGTCAGACCATTGCAAATAATAAAGGTTTATATTTAAAAAAACCACACTCCAATGGTCTGGAGGGTCCCCCGCCATCCCCTTCCAGAAAATTAAAAAAAATTAGGCCTCCAGCCGGCCCTCCTGCCCCCCACATTTAGCCAGCGAAACCTCACGCCTCGCACGAGCCATTGAAAGAGATGCTCTTCGGCCATTTAGGTGCCAGCGTTTTTTTTTATTATTATTATTTATTTACTTATTTACTCATTTTGTTAGCGTAGCCAGGCTGCAAACTCCAAAGAGTTGCGCACGCAGCAACACCCCCCTCACACACACTTGGGGAGTTAAAAAAATTAAAACCTGTGTGTGTGTGTGTGTGTTTTTACTCGCAGCCGGC